TTCTTCCCAATTCAAACCCTGGCCCATTCCATGGCAAAAACTGGCAGCAGGCAGCATGGATTGTGCTAGCAGCACATTAAGAAGCAACAGAGACTTTCCACAGTACCCCAGCAAGATCTCTCAGGGGGAAAGACTTTCTCCACAAGGATTCCCAGAGAACTACTCACCCATCACAGACTTCCTTGATGATGGATGCAAGAGGCCTTTTCTAGAACAGAAAGAGAGAGTCCTCAGTAGCCATTTTGCTCTCAACCAGAAAGGAATACTGCCCATTTCTATGCTTCCCACATTCCAGTATCAAGGCTGTGGTGCATTTCCTCCCCCATCTGGTTACCAGGTTCTCACCTGATCTATTTCCAGCAGCTGGGCATTGGCACTTGGCCACTCAACAGCTACTTTCACAATGTCTGAAGGTGGTGGCATTGCTCCAGACTCCTCCACGTGCCTTTACAACAGCATACACCCCCACACCTGTTAAAAGAAAGAATAGTGAGCAGCTTTCTGAAAACTATTTCAGTCGTTACATTGCATTTAACATCAAGCTTCAAAACACTACATAAAACCAGCCTTATGGTTTGCTGGGCCTGCTAGGGACAAAACATCCAGTGTACCAGAGATCAAGGCCTCATACTAAAACAGCACATTGTGAAATTGTGTGGCCAACCTTATCACCTAAGGAATACTTCTGAGAGCTTGTTGGGGTACTCACACAAGGAGAGTCACTCTAATCAGCAAAGCTCCATCTGCCACCCACTGTCCATACTGCCAGCCCAGTTTACAGGACTAGTAAAGCAATAGATCCCTAAGCTCATCTACTGTCTGTACGTGAGAGAGGGAACATACTCTCCACATAGCCTCCCTCCCATGGGCTGGTGCTTATTGATGCCCCATTCATATTTCTCAGATACCTTGATCCACTCAGGATACACAAACAGGCTCCTAGGCAGAGTAGCAGCAGCTAGCTTTATCCCATTCCCTTCCTATAACATCACAAATCCAAAACATGAATATCCATCACAGAAGAAAAGTTAACTCAGCATTTGCTCTGGAGGTCTACATTTCACTCCTTTATCTGCCTTAGAGCATAAGCTTGTGTTCAGGGTTTGGTGCCAGATAGGTGTCAGACATGCTGGTTTGTGCTTCATCTGGTAGTAAGAGGCTGTAAAGAGATGCTAAGACAGGCTAAGATTTGAAGGGAAACCAGCAGCCTTTGGAATTTTCCTGATGCAAGGCAAGTAAAGAAGAGAGAACTTTCCACAGATCAGCAAAGACCAAGCAGCTGCAGAGATACCAGTAAATCAGTGTACATGACTGTCCTGGAAAAGAGAACTTCTATGAAATTAGCTGAGTCTACCACAAAAGGCGTGTATGCCCGGCCTGTATAAGATGTCGACTTAGAGATCCACTGATGATGTCAATTAATGAAGCCCATATGCCTCTTCCTTCCCTCACAGAGACTGGTATCACTGCATGGAAAGATACAAAAACTCAGGTGTGCTAATGTTTCTCTGCATTTGTACACACACAAACCGCTTTAATCACCCCCCCGTGACTATCTTCTCACTCCAGTTGAGGCAGCTTCCTCACCTAGGAAAACAGAATGCTATGATCTCCTGATGCAGCCTTCTGAGATAGTCACACCATTATCATCACTCCTGCCTGCTGGAATTGAGGATGAGGGGTGCAAGTTTAGTATTTCTTTCATAGCACCTTCTAGAAATGCTCAGTGTTATCATTGCAGCTAGCCTTGCCCTCAGGTCTCCCCCAGATCAGAGATACTTGCTTTACAATGAAGGCACTTGCTGGAGAGAGAAATCAGCCATTCCCCTATTATCATAGAATCATAGAATGGTTTGAGTTGGAAGGGACCTTAAAGATCATCTAGTTCCAATCCCCCTGCCATGGTCAGGGACACCTTCCACTAGACCAGGTTGCTCAAAGCCCCATCCAACCTGGCCTTGAACATTTCCAGGGAGGGGGCATCCACAACTTCTCTGGGCAACCTGTTCCAGTGCCTCACCACCCTCATAGTAAAGAACTTCTTCCTTATATCTAATCTAAATCTACCCTCTTTCAGTTTGTAGCCATTACCCCTTGTCCTATCACTATGCTCCCTTGTAAAAAGTCGATCTCCAGCTTTCTTGTAGGCCCCCTTCAGGTACTGGAAGGCTGCTATAAGGTCTCCTCAGAGCCTTCTCTTCTCCAGGCTGAACTGCCCCAACCCTCTCAGCCTGCCCTGAAAGGAGAGGTGCTCCAGCCCTCTGATCATCTTTGTGGCCCTCCTCTGGACTCGCTCCAACAGGTCTATGTCCTTCTTATGTTGGGGCCCCAGAGCTGAACACAGTACTCCAGGTGGGGTCTCACCAGAGCAGAGTAGAGGCGGAGAATCACCTCCCTCGACCTACTGATCACGCTTCTTTTGATGCGGCCCAGGATACAGTTGGCCTTCTGGGCTGCAAGTGCACATTGCCAGGTCATGTTGAGTTTCTCATCAACCAACATCCCCAAGTCCTTCTCCTCAGAGCTGTTCTCAATCTATTTTCTGCCCAGCCTGTATTTGTGCTTGGGATTGCCCCGACCCACGTGCAGGACCTTGCACTTGGCCTTGTTGAACTTCATGAGGTTTGCACAGGCCCACCTCGCCAGCCTGTCAAGGTCCCTCTGGATGGCATCCCATATTAAAGCAAGCGTTGCTCACCATGAGAAGCCCTTCTGAAGCTGCCTTGCTCAATTTGCTCTGTTCTCAGCATGTGTATGGCCTTTGCAGTTCCTGCAGGATTCCAGGAACTCCGACGCTATCTGGGGCTTCAGCCAACCCAAAAGGGAGATCGGTATTGCATGTGTACAGGAACACCATCCTCCTCCACTCCTATGACAGCCAGACTTTGTCCACTCTACCATCCCACCCGTTGGAAAGTATCTGGCAAGCCAGATTCGGAATTCCATGATATTCTGTAAATGCACAGCTTACCCCAACTCACAGAGATGATTACAGTCAGTACTCCTTATGGCCTTCTCTTTCCTTTTTAGAATCAATCCCAAGAGCGGCTTATGTTTTCTTAAAACCCACAAAATGACTGTAAGACTAAACACATCTCATGCGGAAAAGTGCAGTCAAGTTAGGTTCAGCTTTGCCAGTTTCTTGAAATAATGTCTCCAACCTTTCAGATAAGCAGCACAGCATTAGCTCAGACTAACATCAAGAAAGAGCTGGCCTCGGAAAAGCAACAGACTCAGTGCACCAATCTGAGCAGGTCTCGAGGGCGATGACAGAAAACCATTTATATGATTCCTATCATACAAAATTGCAAGTTAGAGTCAAGCACTTACACAAACAACACCTGATATTTTACTTCCTGATCCTGGAGGGAAGACAACCAAGCCATCTCCCGCTCCAAGATTTGCTCTGGATAAAAATTTTACCACTCTCATTTTGACAACAAACAGGAAAACCTGTCCTTCAGAGAAGATGCATCAGGTAAAAAATTCCAGCTTGGACAAGGTGAGGCCACACAAAGGAAGACCGTTCATATGAGAGTTCAATTAAACTAGTGTTTCAAAGAAGCCTTCACAGCCCACAGAGGTAGGCTAATTCACAAACAGAAAGCACTGAGCGTATGCTGTCCTATGGAAACAACTGCCTCCAAATCCCACGAGCATATGTTAACATACTCCTCTTTCTTCACAAATTTTGATTATCAGCATTGTATTCTCTCACTCCAAGATGGAAACATAAAATTTACTCTTTGCTAAGAGAGACATGTTAACTTGCAGCAAGGATGTTCTCAAGAGGCCTCTAACCCTAAATGCAAACACAGCTGCTGGTGCTATTTTCATTCCCATTACAATCAGTAAATTGGATTCTACTTCTTCTACACTCATCCTGAAGCAGCTGGTCTTCTTTTGTCCAAAGTAAACTAGGAATTCAGGCAATAAAGCATAAGGAACCCCGGACCAGAACAGCACCTTGCCTCATTGCATAAGCAGAGCAAAGCACTTGGGAATCTGCATAGAGAGAGGAATGCTTTGAACCCACATATATTTAGAAGACTGCAGCCCCCTGTACAGCACTTATTATTGCGATTAGTATCCATAGCAAGCCTACCTACAGCAGTTATCCTCAAACTGTTCACAAGTCAATGCCCAACACCTGATATTTCTGAGGATACAAAAAGTTGGCCAAGCATGCCACACTGCAAGTCAGAAGAGTCCCTCCTGATCCTAAAAATCTGACTTTCTCTAACATCCAAGTACAGTGTAATAAAGAGACAAGGCAGAACCACAAAAGCCTGCTGAA